TTTATAACGTATTTAAAGTTTTAATATATTTCTTTAATAAAAATAAATTTGTACATAATACAAGTATCGATATCAAATAATGAAATAATTTAATTTATTTTATGTAATAAAATTATGGAAGTTATATTTTGTGATAAAGATTATTTTATATAAATTATATAAGATAATAAAAATGAGATGTTGATTTCAAAGAATTATTATTAATAAACATTAAAATATCATTTTATATTATAAATAATAGTATATATTTTATATTATAAATAAAAATAATGTAATATTAATTTAATATAATTATTTTTTGTATGTATTATACATATTATAATCTAAAATTATTTTATATATTTTGTAAAAAAATTTTTTGTAATTGTATAATTTATATACATAAATATTAATAATATGATATATTAAAATATAAATTAGATTACTTTTGAAATAATATAAATGCATAATAAATGAAAATTAATTAAAATAAAGTACACAAAAGATAAAATATATACTCTTTTGCTTTAATATACATAGAGTGTAAAGCAAAATTTGGAGTATATTAACTTATAACATATAACATTTATTTACGCTTACTAAAGCGTACAATATATACATATTTGTATGCATATATAAATTATAAATGATTAATTTTATAATATGTATCTACATATATTTTTCACATTAAAAGGATAAAATAAAAGAAGATAAAATAAAAATTACTATTATATTGCTTTATACAAGCTCAAAAATGATTAAGATATTTAAAAATTTTGAACATTGATAAAAATTTTCTAATTATTAAATAGTAATTAATTTTTTAATATTTCCCATGCATCATCTTCCAGTTTTGTATTCCAATTAGATACATGATTATCAATATCAAAATTGATTAATGTTTCTTCTTTGTCTTTTGATTTTCTTGGAAGAGATTTAGAATCTGTTATTTCATTATTTTGTTTTGTATCATTATCCCAATGCCATTCAGAATTAGAAGAATTTGCAGTTGATACATCGTTTCTAAAATAATTTATCATATATAATTTATCAATATAATTTATTTGTATAAATATGAAATCACATTTATTTATTTAATAAATTAAAATTATTTAATTCTTAATAATATTAAATATTAATATTAATATTTAACATTTTAATTTAATTTTATAATTTAGTATTTTATAATTCCACTAATAAAACTATTATTAACTCACTTGGATTGTAATGATTTCATTAAATAAGGTTTTTGAGAATGATATTGTGATACATTTTGATAAATTGTAGAAGAACTTTGATAATGTTCTTGTGAATTATATTGATTTTGTTCAATTGAATTTGTTCCACCAATATCACCCCATCCTCTTCTTCCTAAATCTCCAACCTGTTTTAATTATTTGAATAATCAATTAATAATAATAATAATGTACTTATATCAAATAAAATAAGAATTTATTTGTTATAATATTAATCAAGTTAAATTTTAAAATATGCATTATTAATGATGATTTTGTAGCAAACATCTATCTACCTTAGCAGCTATATTATTAGCTTGAGTTCCAACTTCTTCCCAAAAAGTACCATCACGTACCTAACCAAAACAAAATAAAACAAAAAAGAAAAAATAATTGCTCACTGAAAAATAATTTTTTACTAAATATAAATTTCCTAATATATATAAACATAAATATTAAATGCAAAATAAATAATTGCTATTAATTTTCTTTAATAACTATTGATAATATGAAAAATAATGATAATGTGAATATTTTATATTAAAATATATCATATATTAAATATTATCATATATATACCTTTTGTATAGCTAATTCTCCAGTTCTAATGGCATTTTCTGTAGCTTTGCTTGCTATTTTTGATGCTGATGAAGAAAGTATTGACCAACCCTAAAATATTTAGTACTACAGATTTTATATCTAAATATATATTTATAAATATTAGTTATCTTACACTTGCTAAGGAAGATACTGCATTGTCAAAAAACTCTTGTGATGAACTTTTAGGTGGTGGATTCATTTGATAACCAAATCCTCCATATTTACCACCCTGATTAGGTGGAATATTGCTTTAAAAATATTAATAAAATTATTATTTAAAATATGTTTAAAATATTTAATTATAAATATTTAATTATTTTTTTTTATTATTAGTTATATTAATATTTTTATTAATTATAATATAATTATTATTATTAATTATATTATTACTTTTATTATTAATTATATTAAATTTAAAAAATATTAGTAAAAGTAATCAAAAACATAATTAAAACTTACTCTGGACGATTAGCATTTTCATTTTGTTTTTTTGCAAAAAAAGCTT